TAAAATTTTGCTATAATATAAAGTGATACATAAGGATTCATATAAATAATGTTTGATGAATTGGAATTATGCGTATTTTTTTTAATTAAAAAAGAAAAGTCACAAAATGATTTAAAATAGTATTATTTATTTATTGAAATATTTTTTAGAAACATATTGTACGTCTATTTCTTAATGCTAATTACTCTATTAAGATAACTATCATATTATATTGATAATATAAAATTAAAAATGGTAAAATATTTTTAACACTACGCTAACATACAGAAACAAATCAAAATTATCGCAATATATATATATTTTTTTTGCTCAGCAAGATTGACATCTTACACCCGGTGAGCTTCAGGATCTGAAATAAGTTCATTAACCTTGAGAAGGTGTAAAGTATCTTCATCGAGCTCCTTTACATTTTTTGCATATGGTTTTCTTATGCTCGTTATATATGGATCTGAAGTGTAAAGTAGTGTATTAAACACATCTTCGTTTGTATCTATTCGAGAGCATTTCCGAGCATGGTGTAAGCGAAATTTTTTATAGTCCTTATTGCGAGATTCTTGAGCATCTTCTGAAAGTTGCTCAATTGGTATAACCGCGAAATGGTTTATGATACTCTCTCCGTGAATTAAAATTTTGTGGACAGATGATGGCATGTAATACCAACTATATTTACTCACGTATATTCTTGCAGTTTCCAGAGCATAATTACCAAATTTCTTACTATCTACCACTATACCAGATGACAAAGCCTGCAAAATTATATATAACCGTTTAATTAAATCAATGTCAATCCCTGTGATATCAGCAGAACAGGCAGCATTGTAAAAAAATCTCCTAGCAGTATTGCCATCATTGCTATTTCCCGTCCCCTGTCGTGGTTTATCGATATTAAGACCCAACTCTTCACGAAATCGCTTTTGTACTTCAGCCTTTTTTTCTTGTTTGAGTCTTTTTTTTTCTTCGCTTGTTGCAGACCACGTTTGGAAAGATAGATTAAGTATATGATATGTGTAATATCATTTCCATGCAACGAATCCAGGCATGTAATGTGGATAATCCCTATTGATAAGCATTTTCATTTTCAGGCCTAGCTATTACTTTCGTTAAATCATTCATTTGTGTAGGAGTTGCTCCGCATATTGTACATGTGGAACTAGAAGGCGTATCTGTTAAAACTTGTGCCACTTTTCCGTCTATCATCGTCAAAAAAAGTTCATGCTTGACTTGGACTCCCACGCCTTCTATATTAATTATTGATGGAAGCAAAGTTTGTATTTGATTTTTTATTTCATCTACAACCGATTTAGTTTTTTCTGGCGTTTCTTTGCAAAATTCTATAGATATAGGCCTACAGAAACGAACAGATGAAGGCACTGGATTTTTCCATGTGATGGCGTCTGATTCTACGTCAGTTAATCTGATAGGCACAAAAGAAGTAATAAATAGATTTGCATCGGAAATAAGTTCAGACTCTTCTGGTAGTGCTTGCTTGTACTGGCTTTGTCCAGATGACCCATCACAACCCCATTTGCTATACAATAGTAAATGTTTTTGTCCATTCTTGTAAACCTTATCTATTGATAAAATTCGAGCTGCAGTGTGATCCAATAGATCTTGAACTCTCAATATTTTTGCATAAGTATTTGTGATTTCGATTTTGATGATGGTGGATAGCACCTCTGTTTCATTTCCTGTATTTTATAGTATGGTGGAAATAAAGAACAGTTTCTTTCATCTGTAACGTTTCTGAGATACAGATATTGTGCCTTTGTTAGTTCCAAGTCGATGAAGACACTTAGTGCTTCTTCATCTGTAAGCCCTTTTATTATTTTTGCATCATCTAATTGATTTATAACGAAAACCTTTTTCTCTGCATCAGCCAACATTAATTTTTCAACAACTTTTGCTTCAATTCCTTCTCCTATAGAACGCAATCCTAGATATGCGCTTAGAATGTGCTCCAAACCATATTCATTTAGCAAAATGGTGTTTTTTCTTTTTATGCTTGATTCTGAAGAGTCTCCATACGACACACACGGTCTTCCTCGTTTACCAGAAGAAGTAGACGGTGTAGAGTCTGTTGACACGTTTTCTGATGTTGGTATAGTTAACGAATATTCAGAATCCAACCAATTGGTGTTCTTTCTTAAAAAGGTATTTTTATTGCGTCCTGCTTCACTCCAGCGTTTATTAAACGAATGGATGACATCCCTTTGAATATGGTCAGTAATAACACATATATTGACATCCGAAATTTGTTTTCCCTCCAAATATGTTGAAAGTGCCGCAGTCGTTTTTCCGCCTTCTATATAAGACACTATTAACTCACGTTTAGTACAGTTAAAAGTAGACATGTTGAATAATGAAATAACCGTACCTATTAGAGTACGTAGACGTAAAAACCACTGAAACGGTAATGGAGACATATTTTTTCACTGCCCTTTTTATATTGTTTCAGAATGTGGGAATTATTTCAGATATCTATATTCTCACGGAAAATGACATCGAAATGATAAAACCTACATAACAATATCAAATAATTAATTCATAAAATGTACCACAAACTATTGATAATAAAAGTAAACTACGAAACCGCATTTCATAGCGATTTCCGTTCCCAGACTAGTATTGGATTTTTTCACATATCTCCGAAAACCGCAAAAAGCCGCAGCTAATTTTTTTATATGTTTTAGATGAGTAACTAACCTATAATTTAACATTAAATTCAAAGCATCGGTAAACTACTCTAAATGTTAAAAGATTCGACGAAGTTGAGGAAAAAAAATATTTCTCCATTTTTTCTTTAAATTTTTTATTTTTTCTCCATTCTCGAAAACCGGAAGTGCTACGTTACTCACATCCGGTTTGTAGTCTTATCAGACTATTCTCAACTTATAACTTAAACATTCTCTTTATCTATCTCTTACGGTTTGGCCGCTGAAACAGCACCACGGACGGACGGACGGACGGACTTGTCTAATAGATAAGAGATTCATATATTACCCAATTTCAATCAGTAATAAAAATCAATTTTGATATGCGTTTGTTCTACCATATTCCACCGTGCGGCGTCCCGGGAAGCCCGGGTAGCGGTGGTCGAGACTACTGGAGGGGCGGTAACGCCGGTCCTGGTGAGGGCGGTTGTGGCGCGAACTCCGCGCCACCTCCGGCCGACCCGTAACCCCGCACGCGGTGCGGGAACGGGGGCTGCCACCCCTTGGGGTGGGAGCCAAAAGGAGAAAACCTTTTCAAAAATCATTTTGATGAGGCCAGGTAGGGTTCCCTCGCCCGGAAGAGGGAAAAAACTATGAGAATGTCGACTATGGATACTTGTTTGTCATGCGCTCCCGTTGACGCCGGGCACTCTGAGGTAGCTGGGCTTCAGAGTGATAAATGGATTACTAGCAGCTTATGCGCTCCGGCTGGCCACCGGCGCTGCGGGATTACCGGGTCCCGCAGTGGGAAGTTTACTACCGAGGCGTCTGAAGGAGATGTTGTGGATGTTAGCGTCCTGCGCCTCAGAGGAGGCGGGGACAGTGACATCGAGGAAGAGATGGTGGACGTATCACCCACGCCACCTAAGCTAAACACGGCGAAGAGAGGGCAAGGCAAGGGCAGGGCTGCCCCGAGTACTGCCGAGGAGCCGCAGGTTAGTGATCTGGCGGCAGAAGGGATAAGGAATTTCATCGAAGACATAGACATCCTAACGGCTAAGGAAATAGATTACGCGATGGACTAGCGTATGCGATTCATCGATAGCATAGCGGAGAAACACATCAGCAGCTCGACGCGTAGGAAGGATGTCCTGTCGGTGACATCATAGATGAGAAGAATCTTGGACGTGGTAATGGATCGGAATGAGGAGCTGGACGAAGTTGTGGTGGACAACAACCGACTCCGCAAGGAGAACAAGAGTCTCGAGGCACAGTTTGGGGAAATAAAAAAGGAGCTTGACTCAATGAGGAAGGTCATGGAGAGGAGGGCGCACCCAGAGCCACAGCCGGTGACATTGACGAACGAGGCAGCCGAGGAGCTGAAACGCTCCCTTATGATATCCATAGGGGAGATGGTCAGCACTCGGCTGGCCTCCTTTGCTGAAAGGCTTCAGCTGCCACCTGTGAAAAGCCCCAGGCCATCACTGGCGGCGGACCGCAGCGAAGCAGCCACAAAGGTGAATGAACAGTGGAGCGTCGTGGCTGCTAGAAAGCCGAAGAAGATCAAAGGCACGGCTCCCACAGTTAACCCTGTGCAGAAGAGGGTCGCGCAGACCAGTGTTCCGGATAGGAAAAAGGGTGGGAAAAGGGTACCGCGCATTAAGGTCCCTAGCACGGCGGCGGGAAGTGTGACCCACCGGTCACCAAGGGGAGGCCTCCCGAAAGAGTGGCCTATGAGGCGGCGCCCGGACGGACGCCCTCGGAGGGGGGGATGTCCGAGTAGCCTAGGCCGCTCGGACCCCCCACGGATGGTGTCGCCCGCGCTTCCCCCGTCTTCTTCTAGGAGAAGATCCGGGGAGACGTAGGCGACCGGGAGCCCCCCTCCCGGGAGGGGGAAGAGGGACGGGAAAAACTACGCTTTCCCTCCCGGTCCTCCCTTCCAGGAACGGCGGCCCTCCTCATGTGGTTCTGTCTGCAAGGGGAGGGTGGCGGAGGGCTTTAGCCTTCCGCAGCGGATGGGGGGCGGTATGGTGGGCAGTAGGCTGCGTACCCAGCCCCCACGCGCGGGCCTACCTGCGCACGTCTGCGGGGTCCCCGAAATACCGCGGGAGACCCCTGCCGTGGAGCCCCGGCGAGGCCGGGAAGCTGCTGGGGGCGAAGCCGTGGTAGACTCCCTAAACGGGGACCCCGCGGCTTCGCGCTAAGCAGTGTAGAGGTATTCGCAGGACTTTTTTAGCGGATATTATACCGTAAAGCGCCCGTAAGAGTTGCGGGGTCCCAGGTGGGCATCCACTATGGCGGTTCGTAATACTTGCGGGAGCCAGGTGTGAGGTCCGTTCGGCGGTGTGACTCTTACAGGCGCCGTCGTCTGTAAAAAGATTTTTTACCTGCGATAAAAAAAAAAAGGTTCAGGAGGCAATTAAGGGTCATCCCCACTCTTACACCCTAGATTGTTCCTGCGGCAGGCATGTCAGTAGCGCTTTTTACACCCTAGATTGTCCCTGCGGCCCTGCGGCAGGCATGTCAGTAGGCCGCTTTGACTTTTGTTGCACCTACAGCGTTGGTTTTGAACGTAGCCCAGGCTTGGACTTTGGCAAGATTTGGTTTGTCAGTCAAGTAATCATTTTTTTTTATCAAAAACCTAAAATATGAGTGACAACATGTGCGCTGAAATAAAAACGTTGTATTCTTTAAAAAAATAGGCCCCAAAATTTCAATTGGAGGCCGCAGAACAGTAATATCATTTGTCGGTGGAACGAAAAAATATCAAAATAATCTACACTGCGTCCGGCGCGGTGGTAATTAAACTTTGTATTTTTTGTTTTTTTAGTAAATAATTTTTACTTTATTTTATTCTCAATGAATATATCTATTGTTGATTAGTTTAAAAGGATCAAAGCAATTACTTCGATGATAAACTCATTGTTAATCCAGAAAAATTACAACCAATATTTAATAGAGATACTTCTAGATGTCCTTCGAATGTTGGTAGTGGTAACTTGGGTCGAATGTCGCTTGTAGAGATCCTACGTGACTACAATCACAAACAAAGGTGTTCTTGTTATTGTAACACGCGAACAGTTTTCATCTTATTTGGAGTTTGACTTCACTTCATACAATAAAAATTCACGTTTTGACCTACTTAGGCGGTTTATGTAATCCGATATGTGTTAGATAGTGTTTGTTTGCACTTATTGCAATACCTTTTCGTACAGATTCTTTGCCGAAATAAGGAGAATGTTTAAGTTGCTGGCATTTTATCCATTCCAATAAGAATTAAAAAAAAACAAGGGTTAAAATGGCGAGATACTACGAAAATTCCTCAACATTTAACTATAGCTGGGACCAAGTAGCCTGTGGGTACTGGAAGAGGTACCCCAATCCACTGAGGTAAGACTCGTCAGTCTTTCTTTCCGTAAGAATAAAAACATATATTGTAAGAAGATACACTATCAATAATAATGACTAACTTTTAATAAAAAAAAGAATCTAGTTAATTGGCTTTATCAACCACTAGCTGTGCTCCGCGGTGTTAACCGCTGTTTATAAGGGATAAAACATAGCCTATGTGTTAATCAAGGGTGTCGGCTAACTCCATACCAAATTTTATTAAAATTGCTCCAGCTGTAGACATGGAGAAAACAAACAAAAAAAAAACAATACACACTCGCAAACTTTCGCCTTTATAATATTATAGTGTGATTATGAAGGGGTCAAATGTTGTTTGGGTATGTGTTTATTTATATTATTATTTGTTTGCAGCACTCATGTATTATCTGAAGATACATGGAGCAGGCAAGTGAAAGATGGTTGCTTGCACACCAAGAGACTACTAACTAAGACCAACAGGGTGCCTAAGTGGGGTGAAAAGTATGTTTCATTATTTTACTAGTAACACAAAGTATATTTTCTCTATTTTAAGTATAGCAATTTTTACTTATAGCTAGTTACCGTTTTATAAATTAGCTACATTATTTTGAAGATTATTAAAACAGCACAAGTTCTAAAACTGTTTGACTGTAAATTTCTAAGCTTCAACAGTGGATTTGCTTTAAATAAATTGAAAATTATGTCAACTGCGTTGTTGTTTAATGCTAATCTTAAATTTATAAGTGAAATATCCCAAATATCCATTTTTAGGTGTGTCTGTTTTATTAGCATAGTAATGTACTGACACACCCATTAACAGTCTTATCTTTATACTGTTGCTAAATTCTGATATTGCTTATCTTTAGTATCAGTATAGTGAAAAATTACGTCAAAGCTTTTATTCGCTAAAGGCATGTTTTTTTTAATCTCTTTATTTAAAATGTTGACCAATTCATATTCCATTTCTAAAACCTAAACCCTACCTATTATAAAACATAGATTAAGTTAAACCTGGACTAAAAATTATGCTGTTGCTTTTGTTTGATATAAAGAAAACAGTGACAACATTGGGTGTAAACCAAGACTTACTAGTCCACATTTTGGAATAAGGCAGAAAGGGCTTAACCCGCACAGATGAGTTGCTAAATCTTTGTAACAAGTACCTAGCCACAATGACCTATCAAAAATTCTATGTTTCTAAATAAACTAGCTTACAATGGATTAAATTAAACTAGCTTTTGTTCAATAAAATATTTTAAAAGTCTAAACTTGTACTTAGCATCTGATTTACAAAGTTGGCATAATTTCACAGGGAGGTTGTTTAGTGTTTTAGTTATAAATATTGTCTTTTGCTAGTGCCATATATATTATTATCTCTTATCTATTAGACAAGTCCGTCCGTCTGTCTGTGGTGCTGTTTCAGCGGCCAAACCGTAAGAGATAGATAAAGAGAATATTTAAGTTATAAGTTAAGAATAGTCTGATAAGACTACAAACCGGATTTGAGTAACGTAGCACTTCCGGTTTTCGAGAAATCACGAATTTCAAACGAAACCACACAAAATCTCCGAAGTTCTCAATTAATTAAATACATTTTTTTTTTAAATCAGGTTTTGGTGAACATTTGGTTCACTGGTTTGCTAGTAATATTTAATTGGTTAAGGCATTCATTTCTTGCTTAATAAGTTACGTATTTGTCTATGAACACATTGAGTCAGCTGCATCTTTGACATCAATTGATGTGTTAGAGTAACCTTCACATATTGAATCAAGGCAACACAAATTATTTATTTGCATATGCAAGGTTGAATTACAATTGAGATTTTTTCATGAAATTGTTCCAGATTCTTCAATGCAAAGTCAGTCAAGATAATTGAAGAAAGCATAGTGGATCCAAAAAACAAAATACTTGTGACATATACTAGAAATTTAGGATATACAAAAGTAATGGTGAGTTATTCAGAAAGTATTTATATTATTGACTAAAGTGATTTGAATTGGGTATCAATTAGTAAAATAATATTCAATGCTTTGGATGATATTTGAATAATTTTCTACTTTCAAAAGTTCAATGCCAATTCCATAAATGCATAGTTGATCACTATTCTTGATCTGAATAACTTATTTAATCACATTGTTGTTATTTTAATGCAAAATTAACTCTACAACTTGTAAAAAGCAAGCAGCACTTATATCAGAAAAAAATCCACGCGGACCAGGCAGCGGACGGGACTCGAACCCGCACCTTTCGCAATCCGGGCGAATGCACTGACCATTATGCTACCACGGCTCTATTCGCCGCGTAGAAATTTTCCTAGCCTTAAGCTGCAAGGCAGCGCCATCTCTTCGCATTGTAGGTAGCCCACAATGTCAAATGAATACTTTTTCAAGTATTAAACATTTGAAAGAAGAAATAGCAATTATAGTTATGTTTTTAAAAAAACATAACTCAGTCAGTGCATTCGCCCGGATTGCGAAAGGTGCGGGTTCGAGTCCCGTCCACTGCCTGGTCCGCGTGGATTTTTTTCTAGTAAACTTTTCTTTAGATTTAAACATCTAGCAGTTAAAATGCTTAAAAAAATAAAAATAAAAACAGCACTTATATCAATTTTGTAAAAAGACATTTTACAGCAGACACCTTGACAGCAGAAATTAAACATTAAACAGGTGAATTTAAGGTATAATACTATAAGGGAAACCAATGATTTTGTGTATAAGAAGTCAAGAGTATAAGCGAGTACTGTTATATTTGGAATAAATATATCAATAACATGTATTGAAAATACAGAAGTTAGAGCCCAAGCATTGAGATTCATACTAGCGCATTTGCTGACTTTTATTTTGTATGCGAGTGCTTTTTAATTCGGGAGTTTATTGGTCAACACTCCATTTTAGAGATTAAGCATTTGACGTAAGGTTGAAAATGCAAATCGAGAGTGTTATAAAAGCATTTGATTAGATAATTCAGCGCTCTTACACATGATCCTCAGTGTATATTCAGAGTTTTGTGGTTTTTGTTCTACATTTATCATTATGCTCCCTTGATATATCATTTCATGTTTGTTATAATAAAATATATTTTATGTCACAACCTAAAAAATATTAAACCAATGTGTGATTATATATTTATTGTGAAAAATATTGTTTTTTATACAGGGATTATAGTGACGAATGTGGTTGCAGTTGGTTTCCATTTCCAACCAACTGCAAAACTATAATTCTCCTTAGCCTTCTTGACAATTTCAATTTTTTCGTGCTGATGCGATATTAGCGATGCGCGACTTCGAATAATACATTAGTATTATTCGAAGTTGCGCTACTAATCATTCGACTCCACGAATCATTCGACTAAGTCTACTGCGCTTTATATCATTCGACTGGAGTCGAAGGTATCGTTCGGCGCGCGTCGCACGCAGCGATATTTGACATTAGTATTACTAATTAGTAGACTTTATTCGAATAATGGCATAGTATACTACTAATTTGCTTTTCGAATAGCCAAATTAGTAGTTACGAATTAGTCGAAAGGTAAAATCATTCGTAGTCGCGTATAGCTATGCGATATGCTTGTCTTTGTCTAGCAAAGCATCTACAAGAAGAATAAGTAAATCGCACCGGATCGTCCCTATCTGTTTAAACAACGGCCCTTAACTAGATTTGAAAGTCCTAAGTGAGTTACTGCACCTTTACCCGTTGACGACATCGTGACGTGGAAATGTGGACAGGTACCAACGCGGCACGGTGCGTTGACATAACGTGCAACAGGTTTGCATGGTTTGCACGTTATGTTATGTTAACGATAACGCGCCGTTCCACATTGAAGAGTCGCGACGTGGAGATGTGGACAGGCACTAACCTTCACAGATTATATCACAGACATAGATTGGAATAGGTAACATGCACGTGCCTCTTCCTTTGACGCTATTTTATTTCTTTGCGTCACTGTTCTGAATTCTGGGCCTCAAACGCCAAATTTTAAATGTCAAACTATTCCCTAATAATCTGTAAAAAGGATAGAATTGTAACTGGTGGCCGGAGCTCATGCTTTTACGCCTTCTTTGGTTCTCGTCTGTAACCAAAATATGACACACTCACTTTTCATGCAATTTGAAGAACATGGCATCGTTTACTTGAATCTAGGTCTGTGGATTAAAGCTCTCTCTCGTTGCTACCTACAGAGCGTAGTAGAACGAGTGGAGTACCGATCGGTGGGTCCGGCGCAGACGGTGGCGCGGCGGTCGGCGTGGATCGACTCGCAAGTGTTCGGTTTCTCAAGAGCGATACGTGCTTTCGGCGTCGACAGGTTCCGCAAGAACTGCAATCAAATGGTAAGTGAATCACGGCCAATCATTTCAATCAATATTTTTAGTCAAGTAATTTTGTGAACGGTGTACGAAATAATTAATCTTGATATAACCATGCAGCATCGGTCTAGCGAGAGCAAGATAGTCTATATTTTTTTTCTAGTAAAACTTTTTTTTTATATTTAAATATCTAGCAGTTAAATGCTTAAAAAAATAAAAACATAACTATAATTGCTATTTCTTCTTGACTTGACAAAGTATTCATTTGACATTGTGGGTTACCTACAATGCGAAGAGATGGCGCTGCCTTGCAGCTTAAGGCTAGTAAAATTTCGACGCGGCCATCAGGGCTTTGGTAGCATAATTGGTCAGTGCATTCGCCCAGATTGCGAAGGGTGTGGGTTCGAGTCCCGTTCGCTGCCTGGTCCGCGTGGATTTTTGAAGTTATACTTCTTTAGCCGCGTTATGAAAAAATTATGAGAGTGAAATTTTAAGGTGCGCGCGCAACACTGTAACAGAAAAGTAACACCATGAAGTCGGCCGCTAAACCGCACATTACTCGTAAGTCTCGAAAAAAAGCTTCCAAAAAAATAGTAATAGGATCTCTTAGTCGCACATGTTGGGACGCTCGTCGCCTCTGATCACTGTTTTCATATTTATTATTGAATAAAACTGTAAGAATGTGCGGGAGGGCGAAGGGGGAGTGTGAGAAGACTGACGTCAAATAAAGATAGGCGTAGGCAGAAAATACTTATATTGCGATTACTATTCAATATTTGTAGGAGAAATGGTATTACTGTATCCCACAAGGGTGGAAGTACATGTATACTATTATCAAGACACTAAGACGTCCCACGTGGTGGAAGCGTATAGCGTGCAAGACAATAGGCCCTACCTACGAAGCGATGACTTGGTCAATTTCCCAAGAACACCTTATACAAGTGGTGTCAGTATAGTATAGCGCGATTCACATGCGTACAGCGCCATCTAGTAACGGGCGGCGTGATGATATTTAATACTATGGTGTTACAAAACTTATTTACTTAGATTAAATGAGAAAAACCATCAGTATATTGTTTTAAACTGAACTTAATTGACTGTGTTAACTATCCTTTTCCAGTCCTTTTATTATTTTATTGTAATTATTAATTATTTGCATGCAATTAAAAAATATTTTTAATGATGCTAAAGAAGTATAACTTCTCACGCGCGTACATAAGTTACACGCATCCATTTTTTTTATAGTAAAACTTTTGTTTAGATATAAACATCTAGCAGTTAAATGCTTAAAAAAATAAAAACATAACAAGTCTATATTTTTTTTTACCAAATAAATGTTTTAGACATGCTAATCATTTTAATCAATATCTTTAGTCAACTAACTTTCTGAACCATATACTAAATAATTAATCCATACATTACCATGCACCGGGCCTAGCGAGAGTGAGATAGTCTGTAAATGTTTTTTTTTACCAATAAAATGTTTTACATCTTGCCGCTCTCTCTTCCCGAGGGTCGGAGTTGATACCATGGTATGGCATGATATGACTCTCTAGGTGTTGTTTTAGTTAGAGTTTTATAAAGACGAAACTAAGGCCGCGTTGTTCCATCCTTAGTTAAATTTGACTATAGATGTCTCGTCAAATTAAATACATAGGAAATATGGAAAATGTAGACAAATGGTTGTTTTTTCTCTAGTATTTCAAGTAAGTGTAGATAAGATAGGTGCGGGCTTGAGTCCCGTCTGCTGCCCGCGGCCCGCGTGGATTTTTTTCTAGTATTATTTTCTTTAGATTAAAACACCGAGCAGTTACATGCTTAAAAATAAAAATTATAAGTGTAAATAAAACAACGCAGTCTTAGTAACTCGTAGTTCCGTGCAATATAGCTGTTAACTTTTTATCTGTGTAAATATGATGTATTAATATGAGATTTGCATTACACTTTCTATTTGAGTAAGCTAATCGGAGAAGGAAAAACAATAGAAAAGCCCACGGCTATGTCATTATTTTGAATAGCAGTGCCAATTTTCCCCTTATTAGTTCCGGACGTGTTTACGTTGTTTTCGAATAGGAGTAAATAAAAAAAATATTTACAGCTCTCCACAGATAAAGGTCAAAGTCCACAAAGTACGACACAAGAATAGTAGTAAACACAAACATGTATCTACAAATAGTTATTTTATTGTTTGACGACCTCTGTGGCCGAGTGGTTTGTACGCCGGGTTTCAAGGTGTCGCTTACTCGAAAGGTCTCGGGTTCGAATCCTGGTAGGGGCAGATGTTTGTGTGATAAATACGAGCATTTGTACTCTAGTCATGGATGTTTAATATGTATTTCTATATAAATATACATATGTATGTACTGTTTATGTATTCTATGCGTTACCCTAGTATCCCATAGGTAACACAAGCCTTACAGTGCTTACTTTATACTTTAAATACTTTTTGACCCCAAAAGGATTCACTGCTCGTTCCCCGTAGGTGATAGCGTGATAATATGTGTCCTATAAGTTGACCCGACTTCTTAATAATATTCGTGCCAAATTTGAAGTAAATCCATGCAGTACATTTTGAGTTTATCCCGGACATACATACAGACAAACAGATAAAAATTCTAAAAACTATATTTTTGGCTTCGGTATCGACTGTAGATCACACCCCAAGTATTCTTTTAAAAAAATATTCTGTGTACAGTTTTGACTCTCTTACCATTTTATTTATTTATGTATTTATTGTCGTCTAGGTGAACGGTTTCAACCACGTACTGAACAGTATGTTCCCGCGGCAAGGCGCCGGAGCACACAGTATGTCCTCAGCTCCAGTAGTTCACACGTTCAAAGAGATGCGTGAAGCCGCCGCTGCCGCCACAGATAGAGCTAAGGCGAACGTGCTTTCCTCAGTGAATCGCACGTAACACGACAACGGCCCGGACGCCTAGTGAACTTACTTTAAAACATATTTACCCATTATAGGGCAGTTCAAATATACTTAACTAATATAGGACAGTGGTAAAACGAACTCCGATCCCATGCAATAATGTCGGAAATTCTCACAGTTACAACTTCAGCGGTGAAATAAAAGGTGATTTTTTTAACGACCAGGAGGTCTACTCTCTTTCTCCGAAACGAACTTTCTATAACGAATTTCAAACGAAATTTAATTTCGTCAATTTAAGTTTATATTGGTGTCAATTCTGACACTATTCTCTAAACCTAAACTTAAATTTGACAACAGTGTATCCTTGTCATTCTCTATACGGAATGAAAAGGAGAGATTGATGTTAATTTTAGTTTTAAGTTTAGAGAATCACGCCAGAATTGACACCACTTAATTTGAACGATAAACTATCAAATTCAAGCTTTCTTTGAGTAGGCTTAGAAAATCTACAACTTAATCAATATTCCGACGACGAATAATATTATTATAATTAATTAAAAACGAACCAGAAACATAGTAAGAAAAGTGCGAAGTTTCGATCGAAATTTCGTTTTTCCTTGAATTAGAGTAGGCCTCCAGGGGGCCTACCCCCTGTTACCTCTATGATAGTAACAGAATACAACATGTAACTTTGACAAACAAGCATTAAATTAAATGGCGCGTGGCCTTATAACAGCTTTTTCTTCAAAATGTAGCTTATTATAGCCTCAATTATGGACTATAAATTATATACAAATTCGCAGTGTAGCGAAACAGCAGATATTTTCTATAAGCCTACCGCTTTTAGTGATTGCTATGGCCATAGCTGTAGCTTATGATTTTATTTTGTTATTTTTGACCGTCGAAGGTTTTCAAATACCTCATGCTCGTTTTCTTTAATATTGTAATGATCAATGCATAAGAAAAAAAAGAGCGCGAAGCATTTGAAAACCTTCGGCGGTCAGAAATAACAAAACGAAATCACAAGCTATAGCTATAGCAATCTCTATAGGCGGTAGGCTTATTGAAACTATCTGCTGTTTCGCTACACTGCGAATTTGTATATAATTTATAGTCCATAATCGAGGCTATAATAAGCTACATTTTGAAGAAAAAGCTGTTGTAAGGCCATGCGCAGAGAAGTCAAAATTAATTTAATGCTTGTCAAAGTGACATGTTGTATTCTGTTACTATCATAGTGGTATAAGAATAGAGTATGGGAGATATAGACACTACAAGTGGAAGTGTCCTTCTAATAGAAAGAGAAAGAAGATGAGATACCGTTAGCTTTCTCTCTCTAATCGTGCATGCGCATTGGCAACCGTAAGCATCTTACTATTTCGATGTGATGCCATTGGATGCCATGCGTCACAAGAGAGAGAGATAGGTTGCGGTCTCTCATCTTTCTCTTTCTACTAGACGGACACTTTTCCCCAGTCTATTCTTATACTTCTATGGTTGTAAGGCCACGCGCAGAGAAGTCAAAATAAATTTTATGCTTGTCAAAGTGACATGTTGTATTTTGTTGCTATCGAAAAAAAGTGACAGCATTGACTTTAATGAATCTTAAAATAATTGACGTCTCTGGGTGCGGTCGATAGTGTTGATGGAGATTAATTTTGAGGTTTGCTACAAGAAATAATGAATTATATCGACAGTGGAAAAGCAAAATAGCTTATACGCCATTTTGGTGTTGCTTAAAAATGTACTAAATTTCAGTTTTTATTTAATGTTTATTTTTAAGTAGTACCAAAGTGATGTATAAGCGATTTCGTTTTTCCACTGTCGATATTATGATTAGGAGTGATATTTTATGTTTTAATGATTATATTGTGCTTGTATCATTGATATATTATATTTTATATTTCAGAGAGTTTAGAAAACCATTGTACATAATTCATGGGCATCAAATTATCAGTGGAATATATATATATATTTTTTTCTATTATTCCAATGTTAGGTAGTTATTATAAGGTTTTTAAACAGTCCTATATTCCACCAGCTTTTCGCCTTATAAAAAAAACCTGCAGACATTCAGTTTGGTCCATAATGCGTTTTAATGAAGTTACGACCTTACGATCCTGCAATTTATTTTTCACTGCCATTGGTGTCGATTCTGCCATGATTATCTAAACCTAAACTGAAATTTGATAACAGTGTATCCTTGTCATGCTCTATACAGAATGAAAAGGAGAGACTGATCTTAAATTAATTTTTGAGTTTAGAGAATCATGCCAGAATCGATACTATTGTTATGCCAGTATCTTGTAACATAATAATTATGAGCTACTTTTATATGTACCTATAACCACATTCCACCTGGTGGATAAATGTTTTGTGTTTACCCTAAATGGCATTTTGAAGCTTTAGCTTTGACTGAATAATCAGTTTTGTTGATTGTATATTTTGTTGAGAATATTGAAAAACAGATAAATTGAGATTATATATTATGTAATATGTATATATCTTTTATACATCAGGGGGGCCAAACGCCTAAACGGGATTGCTATGACTATCGCTTGCGATTTTATTTTGTTATTTCTGACCGCCTAAGGTTTTCAAATACCTCGCGCTAATTATCTTTAATATTGTTGTTACCAATTCAAAAGAAAAAAAGGGCGCAAGACATTCGAAAACCTTCGAGCTAGCAATCCCGTTAGGAGATCGGCCCCTAGGTTGGATTTGAACCAATCTTTCGCTGTACGGGCGAACATTAATGGACGTGTCGATTTTCTTCTAGTATATCTTAAACTTTATGGCAGCATAATATTTAAATCAATTGAAATAGAAATTGGTATATCTTATCCAACTCAAGAACTTAAAAAAAGACAAGGATTTTAATAAAGATAGATTAAAAAACACAAGACAAGTGCGAGTCGGACTTGCCCACTGAGGAGATTCCGTACAAAATTGTAGGTACCAAACATAAACGGCCGTATCTTTTCTTACATTAACTAAGAAGTTTTTTTTTCACAGCTTCAAGGCGCCGTAGACCTGAGTCTGAGAATATGGTTTTAAATTTTAACTCGGAGACTCCGCGCGTTCCCGAGATGAAAGGTCTAGACAGACAGACAGATGGACAAATAAGTGATCCTATAAGGGTTTAGTTTTTCCTTCTGAGGTACGGAACACTAAAGATAAATACTGCACTATTGCAGTATTTGTTTGGTGTATTTAAGCACAATAGCTCCCCCTTCTCTGAATACTCTTTAGTTGAAAATTCGACTTTGTACCACAGGGGAGTTGAAGATATGGGGTTACATATTATTAAGCGCTGCCGAATTTCTCGTTTATTTGATGAAATTAAAAAGTAGGTAGTCTTCTAAAGTCTTGTTTCTCATTAGATCGCGGCACGTAACTCTAGCGCTGAACAATACGCGGAGGTGATAGCTGCGCATGGATACGACTGGAAAGCCAATCGGCTCACCCGCGCACCTCGTTTCCCCCCAAGACATCTTAATTTTTACTTCTGCTCAATAACGGTCAGCGTTAGAGTTTCGTGCCGCAAATTATACTTACCTGAGAATAATAAAATACTTGAACTATGAGATAGCAGGGCTGCTGGCTTATTTAATCTCTTGAATTATTGGAAGGCACTTGTGCATCATGGTTAAGAAAATAAATAATTTTACAGTATTTTCGGCGTGTTAGAAAACCGAACACTTTCATTAAGATCCGTGTCGTACTATAATTAATAATTATTTATTTGTTAATTAAAGAAAAATAATATATATTTTAAAAGAAAACGTCATGATTGTATCAATTTCAGATGAAAAGATGATTAGTGGAATTGTATTGTTGAATTGAACTGTGGCCATTAAATGTCATCATGTGTAATGATCGTACATAATATTGCTTACTGTCTATTCTTGATAGTTTACCTAGCTGTAATTTAACTGTATTACTATTAAGGGCCTGCGATGCGGTAAGCGGGAGCATGGAACGGACGTCCGCTCCGCGTCTTTGTTTCATGTTATTTCATAGAGCAGCGCTGCGTGAGGCTCCTGCCGCAGCGCTGTTCTATGAAATGACATAAAACCGCACGCGGAGGGGACATCCGCTCCGTGCTCCCACTAAACGCATCGCAGGTCCTAGAACGTCTTGCTAATAATAATTAAAGTAAAATACTAGTAATTGTATTTACCTATATTGTTTTAACAAAAGCCATGATTGACTTGAAAGATATTTTTACTAAATAAAACATTGTTTTAAAGCTATCTAGTCCTATTCCTCGTTCAAAATTACTGAATTCACTTTTATGGAAAAATAATATTCATCGAAATTATTTTGATGTGTTGTCACTTAAATACATTGGCTAAAGCATTTTTTAAAAATGAATTAAAATAATAATTTACACTTCAGTGCATAGAATTCGTAGCATAAATTTAGTATTAGTTACCAATTTCGATAAGAGGATCATTAAATCAAATACATACCTAATTTTACATTGTTTTATTTAACCTTTTTCAAGTTTTAATGCAAGCACATTTTTATGTAATGCAGCATCTGTTTAAGAGCCAAGAAAGCTCTATATTTTTTTAGGTTTGATTGGAATATGTTTTTAGGTTTGTATGGAATATATACCTGCCTAACATTGTAGATGTAAAAACAGTACGGATAATACGAATAAATTCTGATGGCAATGGACTACCATTGCCTATCAGCAATCAGCAGCCTATTTATATCAAAATTGTTGTGTACAAGCCCTATATGAATGCAGATGCATCCTGGACCAAACATGCATTCTGACGAACGGAGCTCTGGAAATAAACTTTTGATTACCTGAGCTTGCCATTGCCAAATGCACTAACCATTCAGCACAATTATTAAAATTATAACAAGATTAAATGAAAAACAGATTTCCACTGAAAATTAAAGTCTAATAAAGGATTACATAACAATGAATGAACTAAGAGTTTTTTTAACTATGAACTTTATTCATCTATGTATTTTAACAAATGAGGAAGATTTAGTAGAATATCTAATATGTATATTAACTCGTATTATTTAGCATACAATTTCTGTCCTTATCTAACTTTGATGGCAGCTCGAAGTCTAGCACTTCTACTTCTAGGGTTCCTCTCTACTTCTTCATCTGTTGGAACTTGGACATGTTTGGTTAGATTTTGCCATGGGGTGTCCAGAAATTGATTTATTGTGTCTTGATTTTGTACTAGAGTGGGACTAAGATACTTAAGTGGCACAGGATTTGCTACTTCATTTACAATATTGCCAACTATATGCCTCTTCACTATTGTATCTTCGAGTGAATGAAAACATATGGTTACTAGTCTCCCACTTAGTTTCAAGTAGTATTTAGCCAACACCATTCCATAGTTGAGTTCATTTAATTCATTGTTGACAAAAATGCGTAATGCTTGGAATACTTTTGTAGCATTAGATTGAGGCCTCTGAAGCTTGTCCAATCTAACCTCATCTGGAGTGCATGAATTCACTAAATCAACTAATTCTTTTGTGGTGTCAATATTTTTAATCATATACCTAGCTTGTATTATTGTTTGTGCTATTTTTGATGCCTTTTTTTCTTCACCATACACCTTAAATATTTTGTACAATTCTTGTTCAGTAGCTGTTGCCAACACTTCTCTTGCAGTAATTTGATTAGGATCTCTTTCTGCATCCATTCTCATGTCTAAATAACCATTTTTACTTACAGAAAAGCCCCGTTCCCCAGTATCTAATTGCATTGAGGAACAACCAAAATCAAATAATATACCATCTATGCTAGATTGACCATATCCAGCTGATTTCAATAGCTGTGGAAGTTCACTAAACTTTCCTAGAAAAGGAGTTACTCTGTTATCAAAATCTTTGGATAGTTGATGAGCTTTTTCATGTGCTATTGGATCTCTATCTAATGCTATGACATGGCAATTGGGGGCTGCTTCAAGTATTTTCCTTGTATGCCCACCAGCACCAAAGGTCATGTCAATGTAAACTTCATTATTTTTGGGGTTAAGGTGTTCTATAACTTCATTTAACATTACTGGGGTATGGTCTTTATATACACTTTCTGTACTGCACCTTCGATGAAGCAGGAGTTTTATTCTTTTGAAACGTCTCAACATCATTTTTTCCCTCCTCTAAAAATTTTACTGACAAGTCCTTTATTTTCTTCTTTCAAATACTCCAAAACTTCGTCAGATAGTATTATGTTACACTCTTCGGTACTTAATCCAGTTGCTGTGCTATTTCTAGTCCTTTTGTACTTATTTTTGTAGTAGTTATCTGCTAATTTGTTGAGGGAATTGTATTGTCTGTTACATAGATCAGAATCCAAATTCTTTATGTCTCCTTCAAACGCAGCTTTCACTTTGTCTCTTATAAACTTCCCAAGATCTCTAAAATACAAATCAGATTTATGTACAGAGAAATAAAAGCAAATTAACCTAAAATCTTCATTTGAACGGATTTGCCTTACCTCTCTTTTTTTGTGTTATCCAAAGGCCACTTTGCAATTAATTTTGTGAATTTTTTATATTGGCTAGTCATAGCTAACTGATATCATAGTATTTCATTTAAATATTAAATTAAAAAGTTTAGAAAAGTATTGCTTCAAAACTCTAAACTAAACTTCAATTAATTTTTTTAAGATTTTCCCGTTTTAGGGAAGGCAAAGGGAACAATGTCCGTACAGCCTAGTCTTTAGTTATATTGGTAGTTTTCCAATTACAGAGCATAATGCGACTCAGTGGCGCACAATGCCGAATTATGCTGATGCTTAATTGGAACGTGAATTAGTTTTTAAATGCACCAGCAGAGTGCGCTAAGTTCAGTGTTGAAAAAAATATATTCATAGAGTTAGCAATAACCTCATTAACGTGTAAATAAAGTGGTATACATAATATTAACAATGAAACGAAAGCTTTAAAAAATTCAACAATAAATAATATTACTAACGATAGATAGTAAATAAATAAAACATTTCGATAAATGCCAACACTTATTGATTTTCTGTCACTGAGTTGGTATCACACGAAAACATCACTTTTGAGAGTGCTCGATTGTGCGAAGCGATGCTGTAGTTCAATATAAATACTACGCTCTGCTGTAGTTGAACATTCAACGTTACGCATTATGCCGCATAATTCGCTCTAGTGCTGTAATTGGAAAACTACCATTAATCTTCTTTTTCCTTTTACATTAGAATGTCGGTGTGACGCATTCTAATGTTTCTTGGAGTGTTTGGCACGAAAAGTATCGAGTGGGCTTTTTCGATAAGCTTCTTTGTGGTAGTCAACACTCCAATAAAGTTCTTACGTCCACTTGACCGGAATAGCGTATATTTTAAAGATTCCACTAATTATTCAGTTACTCAAACGGTTGTAACACAAAATCACACCAATTTTATTTCACAATATCCACTATGAATGAATTTAAGAATAATTAAGATAAGACGCCAACCACACTCGATGAAATCCCGCCAAAAACTCCCGTTAAATTGTTTTTGGTTCTTGCTTTTGCGTAGGCCAAAGTAATTGTTATCGTACAGCCAAATCTAACATAAAAAATGTCATCGCTGAATTAAAGTTTCTTCTTCTTCCTCTTCATAAGCCCGGGTTCGCCTATTGATGGGTATAGGCCTCTTCATGGTTTCTCCACGCGACCCGATTCCTCGCTACGCGCATCCAGCAGGCCTATTCGCTAACTGCTTTCGACAGATGAAAGTGATAATCACCGAGCTATTTAGCTATGGTACCGTTAAAGGTAGCCGCTGGATACAAACAGCTCAATTAGTGCGGAGATCTTTGGGGGAGGCCTATGCTCAGTTGTGGGCGTTATTATGTCTAAATGATAATTATGTCGAGTTATCAATAAAATCTTAGGTCATTCAGAAAATATAAAAAAATTAAGACTTTATGCCGTGTAAGTATGTCTGTCTCTCATCCCATGGAATGGATTTCGCAAAAGGCAACCCATGATCTCTGTTATATTCTGTGCTCTAGTCCCCGACAGCCATGCTAATCCTAGCCAACGGTAGTAAATATGGTAACTTTGGGCAGGGTGTACTAAAATCGTCTCGATTAGAACTTTTTTTGGTGTCTGGAAAATGCGTTATGCATTCTCCACACACCGGGAAAAGCGCTACGGACCATGCATGCACCACGCATCTGTGGACTCCTTCCCGCTCATTTCACCCAACCTATCGGCTCGATGAAATGAAGGAGCTCTAGCCCTACCTAGTAAAAACCAGACAATATTCCAGCACCTTTCACCTGATCAGGGGGGCATTCGCCTAACGGAAATGCTATGGAAAACGCTAACGCTTTCGATTTTATTTTGTTATTTCTCACCGCCGAAGGTATTCAAATACCTCACACTCATTTTTTTTAATATTGTTATTACCAATGCAAAAGAAAAAAAGAGCGCGAGGCATTGGAAAACCTCAGGCGGCTAGAAATAACAAAATTAAATCGTATGCGTTAGCGTTTTCCAAAGCATTTCCGTTAGGCGAATGGCCCCCAGATCCCTCTTTCCCAGTGGGCAATAGGTCAAAGACGGCACTGCACCTGACACATCCCAAGGACCGCGGTCCCTGACATGTTGTGTGGGACTGGCCATGCGTCCGTCGGTGATTGTCCTTCTCCGGACCGTACCCGATGTGCGGTTCCCCGGAGTAAAAGGAACACCACCTATCACAGGAACTCGTGTAATGCGGGCTGGGGCTCCCACACCAGTCCGCTGGCTCCCGGAGGAGCAGAAGGGGCAGAGTAACTCTCCCTCTCCTCTCGCCATCAGCACCGGTGCCGTCATCCCTCTTCTGCTTACTGTACCGTGTTAAGTATCAAATGACCCTTTCATTTCTTTCGCAATGTGAAGGATTCAAAATTAGTTTTTTTACAAATTTAAAATGATTACAGGTTATTTTTTTTTTTTTTTATAGATAGATCCGACAAATGACTCCACCCCACCTGATGTTAAGTGAAGGTGAAGTCCAGACGCGAAGATAGCTGATACAGCAGTTCTAACTGCCACACCAGCCATCCTCACCCTGCCGGCCTGCAAGTTGCTTCTTCACGCCTCTTTTAAAGGATCCCAGGCTGTAAGAGGGAGGGAACACGTGAGCGGGCAGAGCATTCCATTTACGGATAGTACGACAAAGAAATGAGTCACCAAATTTCTTTGTACGCGTTGGAATTGTAGCTACAGTTAGACGGTGACAACGTAAGCCAGCGCGCGTGGTCCTCTGAAGGAAAGGGGAAGGTGGAATAAGAGAGAATAACTCCTTAGAATACTCGCCGTGGTACAGGCGATAGAACGCGCTTAGTGACGCCACGTCACGGCGTAATTGAAGAGGCTCGAGGTGTTTAGTCACCTCCTCATCGCCTATGATGCGGATTGCGCGCCGCTGTAACCTATCCAAAGCATCGAGCAAGTACTTAGCGGAGCCATCCCAGAGGTGTGAGCAATATTCCACGCAAGACCGCACCTGCGTCTTATACAACAAGCACAGTTGCTCGGGCGGTAAAAAACGCCGCACCTTGTTCAGGACTCCGAGTTTGCGTGAGGCTGTTTTTATCACACTTTCGATGTAATTCTTTGGATTTAAGTCACAGCGAATCTCCATACCGAGCAAGGTGATACTGCTCTCTAGCTCCAGTGTTGTGCCCTGAAGAGAAGGACATAAAAGGAATGGCGACGTTTTTGCCGTGAAAGTACAGACCTGGGTTTTCTTAGCATTGAACTCAACCAAGTTCTTGGTACCCCATACAGAAATGTGGTCCAAAGCTTGATTGAGCTCAATGACAAGATTCTCCCGTTTCTCCTTGGTTACCGCCTGCCCAGCCGCTGCTTGTCCGAGATACCCCGCATGCACTGTACTATCGTCTGCATAGCAATGAATATTCCCAAGAGGAATTAAGACATTGATATGCAGCAGAAAGAGAGTGGGGGATAGGACGGAGCCCTGGGGAACGCCGGCATTCACTGACATGAACCGCGAACTGCTACCATCCGTAAGGACACGAATTCTACGCTCATGCAGGAAGTCAGCTACCCAAGAACAGAACTGGGCCGGCAGACCGTATGCCGGAAGCTTGGAGAGAAGACTTTTGTGCCAGACCCTGTCGAATGCCTTGGCAATGTCAAGGCTAATAGCCAACGACTCGCCTCGCTTGTCGATAGCCTCACCCCAGATATGAGTCAAGTACGCTAGAAGATCACCCGTCGATCGTTTCGGTCTAAAACCATATTGACGATCATTGGTCAGGGAGTGATCCTCTAGGTAGCGGGTCAGATGGTTGTTAAGGACCTTTTCTAGGACTTTACATAATACTGAGGTGACTGCTATTGGCCGGTAGTTAGCCGGGTCTGAGCGATCCCCTTTTTTGGGTACCGGTTGCACGTTAGCATCTCTCCAAGCTTCCGGCACACGCCCCAAAGAATACGAGCACTGGTACAAACGCGTGAGCACGGGAGACAACTCCGCTGCACATTTTTTCAGTACTACTGCTGGGATGCCATCGGGTCCACTAGCTTTCCGGACGTCGAGTGATTGCCATTCGGCACGAACCTCACGCTGCCTGATTTTGATATCCGGCATCGTTGTGCCACAATGAGGTAATGATGGTGGCGGTGCATTGCAATCATCGATTCGGGAGTTACCCGCAAAGAGTTTTGCCAGTAAATCGGCTTTCTCCTGCGGCTTATGAGCTAGTGTTCGGTCTGGGCATCTCAGAGGTGGCAGCGAGGGCTGGCAGAAGTTCTTTTGCACGGCCTTGGCCAAACGCCAATAGCTACGGGAGCCCGTAGGATGCGTTATAAGTTCGTGACCAACACGTGCTACGCGCTGGGCATCCGCTCTGATGTAAGCCTTCTTACAGGCCTTGGAAGCAATATTGTAGGCTGCTTTTAGTGAATCGACCCCGGGATCCTTAATAGCGCGGCCTCTGATCCAAGCACGATATGCCGCTTGCTTACGCGAAGCAGCTTCAGCACAGTCGTGATTGAACCAGAGGTTACGTGTGCCCTTACTGATGAGATTGGAATGAGGAATATAGTATTCCATACCCATTACAATCTCCTCAGTAATAGCAACGGCGCTGGCTGATAGGTCCTTGTCACTGAAGCAGCGCTGCTTCCAAGGGACGGACGCAAAGTAGTCACGCATACCGTCCCAATCTGCCGACCCATAATGCCAAATCCGGCGTTTTACCACCGTTGGACGTGGAGGCTTGGCCTGTGGCGCTTTGGCAGATATCAGGCAGTGATCTGAAGAGCCCAGGGGGGCTCCTACCACAACCTGATAGCCCTGTGGATGGGTCGTGAGCAGAAGGTCCAGTAATGAAGGCGCTTGACTTGAAATATCTGGAATCCTGGTGGGCTGATCGACCAGTTGTTTCAAGTCCTGCGTAGTCCTGGTAGTTTAATAATCATTAAGGAAAATTTATGAAACTTCACGAATCGTGGTAGATGTTAGACGATATTGTGTAAGAAATAGTCATCTTAACTAACTATGCTATTCTTGTGACCTACTTAAATAAAACTATTAAACAAATCAGTATAATCCCAGGCAAAGCTTTTAAAAACATTGTGTCTCTTTTTGTCAAACCTAGTTTGGAA